GTGTGTGTGTGTGTGTGTGTGTGTGTGTGTGTGTGTGTGTGTGTGTGCGTGCGTGCGTGCGTGCGTGCGTGCGTGCGTGTGTGTGTGTGCGCGCGCGCTTATTTGTAAGGACGCTAATCTGATCCTGATCTCAAACTTTTTTTAATTCCCAACTTTCCATGAAAGTATGCAACGCATGAACAGTATCTTAATCTTCATGTTGAGAACCCTGGATTGGGATGAGCTGACATGTGCAGCGACGGAGCTCAAACTTCGTATGCTCAGCTCAGAGCGGCTCAGAACATTCAAACTGACAACTGCTGGCATCTTCTTTTTGGCACTGTTTTTGTTCTCATTTCATCATTCAGCAATTTGTTCTTCCTCAGTGCATGTGTTCTTTCATTTTGACACAAGAACAACAAGTCAAAAAGTGACCCGTTTGAGACTGCGCTACCTTTAAAATGACTCAGAGTCTCATACACTCTAAGAACTAAAGAACTAGAACCATACAGAGTTCTTCGACTTATCCTGAAAGGAAACCCGTTGTTCAGAGGGTTCTACATAGAACCTAGCATAAAGGGTTATAGCTAGAACCATCCCTGAAAAGTTCCACCCAGAACCCCCTATAAGAGTTTCTACAGACAACACCTAGAACCCCTCTCTTTCCACTGTCTAAGCGTTTCATCTAGAACCCACCCAGGGGCTTCTGAGGATCATTTTGTATTTCAAGAGTTTCAATTACAACCTACCCAGGAGGTTCTACTGATATTTATTTTATATTCCAAGGGTTTCATCTAGAACCCTTAGGCCCTGAGGCTGATGTGGTGCAGCGCAACCCACAACAATCACGGTTGACAATCACAGTTTTCGGTTGCCGGTTCCCTTTTAACACCCATGCTTTCAACAATCCTTGAAGAACTCTTTCTTCCAAAAAAGGGCCCTTGAAAAACACTTTCTTCATAAGAAGAGAATGTATATATTCTAGGAGTGTATATATAGGCCTCTGTGGATGCTTAGAAATGCACGATGATGAAAATGTTTACTTGGGGTGTTTACACAACAAGCACTGACCTTTGTGTATGGCAAAGCCAATTAATATTCAATCATGTCTTGGAAACCATAAGCCCAGAAAGTGTAACAGCTGCGAGCAAAATGAGAATATCGTGCTCCATAAATCTGCTCTCTCGCCTGTGCCTCTCGTGCCTACATGACTGCTGACTATCTTTGTCACGGCAGACATGCTCCATTGTGGTAGCTGAAATAATTACTGGTCAGGTCATAAAACAATATATTGTACATCCAAGCAATACGCTAATAGCTAATCCAAAAGCAGCCAGTGAACCACAGTCTATTGTGTGAATGATAGATTTTCAATTGCACATGTTTTGCGTAGTGAGCATCAGCAGCAGGGTAAGAGCGCTCTGCAGTTTTACTCTGCTGTCCCCTGGGGAGGAAGTGATGTCTGAGACTGAGACTCATTCAGAGAGCCATTCAGCCACTAGATATCAAAAGCGCTGAGGTACTAAATTATACAAGCCCAATGCTCTGAACAATGTGTGTGTGTGTGTGTCCGTCCGAGAACGCGTGTGCACTCACATGTGGCGCTGTGCGTGTGTTTTTTTTTATTTTTGTGGCCTTACAGCTATTGCTCCTGGCCTGATTAATATTTTAGTGAGCCGTGAAGATATAGAAGCTTACAGGCAGCGAGGTGCGGGAGCGCTCGATGTGTTCAGACAGGCTCTGTGTGCACGACTCAGATTGGTCCCTGTCTGCAGCAGCACCACCCCTATCACGACTATTTACATGCAAGAACAAAAGGCGAGTGGCTCGTGATGAGCACAATGCAGTGTGCTGCATAAAAACCTCGACTAGGCTTTGATCTTTGGTGGGGGGAATTTTTAGGTTTGGCTCAAAACTACTGAGGGACTTTGATGACAGTCCAAGAACAACAGGGGAGTCTGTGTATGGCCAGATGCACTCACCTTTCGTCTGTCTGGTTTAAGAATCATTATTGTCTGGCATTCTATTGAAAAAAGGTTTCTTTTTCTTTTGAGGAGCAACTTATAATTGGTCTCTTTATAACTCTGATGTAAGATCTGAAGCAAAGTTCTCACTAATTAGCAAAAATCCATTCATCCCTAACATCTTGATAATTGCTGAAATAGTTATCGAACATAATAGTCTGACAGCACACTTATCAAAAAATATGAACACATCAATGGCTTGAAAATCATTCATTTAAATCACATTTGTACAAAAAAGTGAACTTTTTAGGAATGAGATATTTCAAGCAGCTGCTGTGTCCAGCCAACAGCTCGCATATTATGGGCCCCTTGTGTTTTTACAATAAAAACAGAATGAAAACTAAAATAAACATCTATTGATGAAGATACCTCATCAGATTACCCTGCTGAGCCCCAGGGTGAAGGTCTTGCAACTATATTTTTAAAGCTCGCTAGCGGTCTAGCTCTATAGCAATGGCAATGTCAGTCACAATCCCCAGAGAATGAATCCTGTTGCCGTTGGTGAATGATCCCCTGACTGAGACAGTGCTGCAGGACTGAGTCCTAATACCCGGAAATGAGGAAATTTTCCCCCTTCGGGTTCCCCCGTTTTGAAGACAGTGTTTTTTGATGGGTTTTGGTTAGATTCCTGAAATTAGGTTTAGGTAACATTTTTGGTCTACGATATGAAAACACATGAATAAATCCCAAACTTGTGAATTTTGAAGCTTTTACGTGTCTTAAAAAAGGTGTTTTTTTAACAATTGGCTAAATGAGACTACAGAACGCCAGCATGCAGGCTAGTCCGCCTTTACAGCCTCGTTGTGTGGTTTGTTTAAAGATTAACATTATTCACACTTCACAAATCATGAAAGTGGTGTTCGTATTTTGAATATTATCTTCCTGAACAAAACGTGTAGGTATCATAAACCTTTGTTTGCCACAGAGTTTATTTCCTGCAATAATCCAAAATTTAACAGAAAAACCCCATTGTTCTTTGTTTGGGGAACCAGTGCGATGCCAACTTCCAGGTTGGTCTACTAAAAATATGTCTTTCCTGTAGCACTCTATGGTAACAAGTTTGGTGATATCCTGACTTTTCCTCTGGCGCAGGTCAAAATTGAAATACCTGCAAAACTAAATACATTTCCATCAGTACAGCAGTACTTTATACTAATTAGCAAACATTGGCATCCTAACTAACACTAACTAAGATGGTGAACATGGCTAACATAGCCTGCTAGGCTGCAAAACATCAGCATGTTAGCCTGTTGACGTTAGCATTTAGCACAAAGCACCGCTGTACTCAAGTAGCGCCTCATATAGCCACAAGCATGGCTGTAGACTCGTAGCTTACTGACACAGGGACGCTCTTCGAGACGAGGCGCCAAGATTAAGTAATAAAGAAGGACAGACCTTAAAATCTATATCATGCCGGTTGATTTCCTTTAGTGCAGCGGCTTGGAGCCCAACACAAATTTCCCTGGGGGACAATAAAGTATATCTTATCTTCCCAAACATTTCCAATGAAACTATCAAAAAACAGTTAGCACATAATGAGCCTGGAGTTCTGAGGTCCTGCAGCAGTTGCCTGCTTTGCCCCGTTAATAATCCAACTCTGCCCATCCGTCTGTTGTTGGATAGCCTACCAAACATTGCAGAATCGGTACCCTTCACTGTAGGTAAACTAGTGTTGGACAAGTGAGGAAAACAGGCAGCAAAGAATGGGTAGTGTGGTTCTAAATCATCCATGCAGGTGTCATTATAAAGCTGCTTGGTTGTTTTTGCATTCATCAAACAGGATGATGGAGGGCTTATACTCTGGATGCTGTAATGCTATTAGCATCACTATTGCAGCAGCAGGGTGCTCTCTCAATAGGACCCAAAAGGCCTGCACAAGATTAAAATGGCCCATAAAGAGGATTCAGCTCTGATTTATTGCGTAATACAGGATTTGAATGATCCTCATTA